TACTGCCAGATTTAAGCATCGAGATAGTAAACTTCGAGAAGTATGAACCGCTAGTAGCCTTACCTACCATTACAATTCTTCCCAAGCCAAAGAGAATAGTTCATCTGACCTTGCCAACCAGGCCGACACAGATCTTGAACAAAAAAATGGTGGCAGACCGCACTTGACCAGCTATACGAGGCAGGGCGAGGTATCTTCTCTACACGATAATCTCTTACCGGATAGACATGATTGGTGACATTAGAGTCGGCCGAGTATATCACGGCCAGTGAGACCACTGGCAGATGGAGGATAATCCGAGATGGAACATCAATACAAAATTATATGACCTTGATGCACCCAGCAGGTTAATAATGCAAGGCTCTTTCTGAAGAAATTCTCAGCGGGGTAGCCGCTGCAGGACCATTAATACTGGGACAACTATGTAACCTAGGTTGTGTCTTTTATAAGATTAAGTGGAATGGCACTGGTGGCTGCGAAAATTCAAATACATAGTAGCTGCAGGAGAAGTGGAAGTAATGATTCTGAGTCAATATTATAAGGTGTGGCCTGCTTTGCAGCTGGAATTTTGCTAGACAATTTAAAGCCATCCGGCTCTTTTATCATCGTATACAGATGGTGTGGACAGGCATAATGCTGATAATATTGACCTTATTCATAAGAATACTGGTGAATTACTAGCGCTAATTAGCTAAGGTATCAACATTCCTGCTATATGGCTAGGGGGCGAATAGAACAAGCATACTAGGCTACTGGAAGCCTCTGGCCACCAACTCACGAAACCCCGGAGTCCAACGTGCCACCCTCAACTTCCTCCTCACCAGGAGAAAGCAAGAAATTGTATGATAGACTGGGCCCACCAGATGCGGAGAGAAGAAATCATGGAAAGGGTAATGCGGTTGAGACCTGGCTGGATTTGCCTCGTTTCTTCTTGTTTGGTGCTTTCAACTGGGAAGAAAATGAGTATGATGAGCCAAGATCCATGACCTGCAACGTCACATCTTTGGCATTCTCTGGTGTCCATCTTGTTGCCTGGAACTGGGAATTCTTGTCAGACACTACCGCATGCTCTGGCGCATCTTTGGCCCTGATAAGTACTATTCCAGGGGTCTTGCTGGTTTACTGTGCGACGGGTTTAGGGTGAGCTATAGAGCGACTCTAAAGGTGATGAAATTTGATTTTTCTGGTACTTTCTTGGTTTCTCTTCGATGCTGGCCGCTGTTTACAAGACAGAGCAATGGTGTCATTTCTTTCCCCATTTCGCTTGAACCTAATAGTATCGGCAAAATAAGAATTCAGAAACCCACGCTCTAGGAAACCATAATACAAACTAAAAGGAAATCCAGCCTCAGGAAGCTGGGGACCGAAATAAACGATATAATAAACGATCAAATGTAGAATCTGGTATACAGCCTCATATAGGTCATAGTTCTATCTCATTTGCCCGAGGCCGCTATTGTAGTCCACTGGGATCATCGGGCTGGCTTGGCCCGTGCTAGAGGCCCACCAACAGTTACTAAGCGAAAACCGAAGATTGGCTAACCCCATCATCATTGCAGAACAACTCATCTTTGAAGGATCGAATATATTGTAGGTAGGTACTTACGTGGCGTGGTCTGAACCTACACTAGTGGTCAATTATTTAGATGGTGGTGGTCGTCATTGAAGAGCCTGTTGTTAAGGAGTGTAGAACAATGGCCCTCTGGGCATAAGGCAACCCATTGGGTAAGCATTACATGCAGATTGCTTGAATCAGAGGGCAACCGCTGTGTGTAACATCTTCAGTTGGATGCCCAATTACCCCAACGTTCGGCAATACCTTCTGAGTCTGTTGTAGACTAGTCTGCTGTATATTATCCAGATCAGTCACAGACAGGGCGGAATGTGCTGACTTGAAGGGAGAACAAAGAAAGTTATGTAAGCTAGGAGTGGGTTCTCCAGTTTTAAGTATGTTTATCTCCAGGGTTCGAACGTCATCGACGCCTGTCTCAATTTTTAAGCTAGATCGGAGAGTGTGTGAGAGAGCTTGCAGGGCAAAACTTTGCCCGTGCATCAGCCTTGCGAAATAAAATATCTTGGTATGCTGAACTTTCAGTTCCACCGCCAATCAGGGCCTGCTTGTTTCGTCCGAAAACTTACGATTCCGCTAACGATGGACTTATCTTAGCCAACAGCCACCGCTCCTTGCGCTAGCAATCGTGTCTCGCAAATCGCTCAACCACAACTGTGCTTCCTTTCTTCCCTATCTTCCCTCGTCGCCGAAGTCGCCATTCCTTATGGCGTTTTCTGCGACATTACAGCGTGCATTGTCTGTTTGATTCGATCGTGCTTTTCACCCCGGGTTTCTCCGAATCAACATGACGGATCCCAATCCGCAGGGCGGACACCTCGAACACCGCTCTTTGCGGGATTGGCTTGCCAACTTCTTCCGAGCACCTTTGTCAAACAGTTCTGCAGATTCTCCGCCTGAACGGATTCCCGAGACCTTAGAACCGAATGATAGAACCCGCTTGTTGAAATTGGACGATGGTCAAGGTCCCGCATACGGTACAAGAGATGGTTTATCGACGCCGCAGGTTGACGGTGGGCCTGAAGGACATATTCGGAACGGGAATGGAAGCCCGACGTTCGTACAAGGGCCGGAGAACCTGCCTCCCAGGACTGGGTCAGGCCTGGCATGGCCTGTGAAGAACCATAAGACTATGTAGGCTTGGACTATACGGCCTCTTGGCTTTGGATTCAGGACGTAACGACTGATTGAGACACAGGTACCTCTCATACTACATCCCGTTCTTCAACTGGATCACACAATATCGCTGGTCTTTCCTCCGAGGCGACTTAATTGCAGCCTTGACAATCGCGTCAATCTACATTCCCATGGCCCTATCTTTGGCTTCGAACCTCGCCCATGCACCAGCCATCAACGGCCTTTACTCATTCGTTTTCATGCCACTGCTTTATGCAATTCTAGGAAGCAGTCCTCTGCTCGTTGTTGGTCCGGAAGCAGCTGGGTCGCTATTGACGGGAACAATCGTTAAAACTAGCGTCAAACAAGGCCACTCGCAGGAGGATGATGAGGCCGCAAGCGCAATGGTTGTAGGCATAGCCACTGCCATGGCAGGAGCAATGATACTAGTCGCTGGACTGACTAGGCTGGGTTTCCTGGACAATGTACTCAGTCGGCCTTTTTTGAGAGGCTTCATTACTGCCATTGGCTTTGTCATCTTTGTTGACCAGCTCATCCCGGAGGTTGGACTGGCAGACTTGGCCAAAGAGGCCGGTGTCAGTCATGGCAGCACAGTGCAGAAGCTTGTCTTTCTTGCTGGGAATATCAAAAGCTGTCATGGTCTTACAGCTGCTGTATCCTTCGGAAGTTTTGCAATCATTATGCTCTTTCGGTATGTACCATGTCCCCACCTAGCGTGTAGGGGAGATACCTGATTGCTGACCCTGTGCTACCTGCCTCAGAACAATCAAAAAAGCACTAGAACCACGATACCCTCAGGTCGTATACTTCCCCGACCGTATCCTTGTCGTGATCCTCTCGGCCATTCTGACCTGGCGTCTTGGTTGGTACGAGCAGGGGCTGGAAGTTCTGGGGTCGGTTCAGAACACTGCCACTGGGCTCTTCGCCTTCAGGTGGCCCTTCCAAATCAAACATCTGAAGCATGTGCGCACCGCCATGAGCACCTCCTTCATCATTGCTATCCTTGGCTTCTTCGAGTCCTCGGTTGCTGCCAAGGGGCTCGGGGAGAGACGAGACGGGGTCCAAGGCATGTCTGTCAGTGCGAATAGGGAGATGGTTGCTCTGGGCGTTGCTAATGTGGTTGGGGGCTGCTTTATGGCTCTCCCTGCCTTTGGTGGATACGGACGGAGCAAAGTCAACGCCTCTACGGGCGCTCGCTCTCCTATGAGCAGTATCTTCCTCAGTATTATCACCTTCATTGTTATTATGGTGCTCTTGCCGTACCTATACTATCTTCCTGTGAGTTCTTCCCCAACACCTGTGAATACTTGACAAAACCCATATATTAATAACCACCATAGAAAGCTGTACTATGCTCTACGATATCGGTCGTCGCATACAGTCTTATAGAGGAATGTCCTCACGACGTTGCCTTCTTCATCCGGCTGCGTGGTTGGACAGAGCTTGCATTGATGCTTCTCATCTTCGTCTCCACTATATTCTACTCGCTGGAGCTGGGTATCGCGCTTGGCATTGGGCTCTCAATCCTGATCCTTATTCGCCACTCCACCCAGCCTCGCATACAGATTCTCGGGAAAATAGCTGGAACACCCGACCAATACGATAACGCCGAAATGCATGCGGAAAATGTGGAGCTCATTGACGGTGCCCTTGTTGTTAAGATCCCCGAGCCGCTCACCTTCGCCAACACTGGCGATCTCAAGAATCGCTTGCGCCGCCTAGAGTTCTACGGCTCAAATCGCGCACATCCGTCCCTTCCACGGTTGCGCCCCCCGGAATCAAATAAGAATGTTATCTTCGACGTTCACGGTGTTACGAGCATTGATGGCTCCGGTACGCAGGTCCTCTCCGAGATCGTTAATGATTACATCAATCTCGGAGTAAGCGTGTATTTCTGTCGGCTTTCGAACCGCAGCGTCTTCCGCATGTTCGAAAGAAGCGGCATAGTCGACCGGTGTGGAGGCATGTCTCATTTTGTCACCGGTGTTGATGAGGCGCTTCGGCTCGCTGAGTCGGAAGGCCATGCATCGGAACCTTGAAGGTTCAATTTTATGTGAAGCCCGGCGCTTCTCTCGTATAGATGTGCTACCTGGTCATGACCCGAACCTGTAAACGATTCACGACATTGCACGATACAAGACAGACGTTTAGAATGTATAGTCCCAGCATCCGTTAGATATGTTGTTGATAGCAGTCAAAACAAGAATCACCAGCGGTTTTCTTCCTTCGTGATTGGCTTGTTCGTGCAAATTTTCGTAGTCTGTGACCCTGATCTATCAGGATTTCTGGTTCTCGTCCTCGCTCATCTCAGCCCTACGCAAGGTATCGGAAAGCAACACCTCACAAGCCCGTAATGCAAGAAGATTTTTCCGATCAGCAGCGGTATTCGAGCCATCGTTGTCGCCTACTGGAGGTGCAGCAACCAGCTTGAGCTTCCCGTCTCCACCGAGCACGAACCCCCCGCAGGCGATCCGTGAAAGCCGCACATAATCTTGCTCCTTGGGGGTGGGCTCAGCATTGCCACCGCTCAAATCAAACTTCATTGCCAAATGCTCTTCCAAGTATGAACTGAGAACAGCCAGAACGTTCAACTCACTTCCAGTTCCGTTATTTCCAACATCAAGGAACCCGCCCAGTGAATCCCGTGGTATCGTAACGTTCAATGTACGCAAATCTGGCGAAACAGAGGCAGGAAACGATAGAGTGAGGTGAAGCTCTTTGACGATCTCGACTACGTCCATAGACCCGGATCCATCTTCGGAGTTCAATGTGTTTATGTATGTGTTCAAGGCTGTGCCTATAAATCGCGAGGGAAGACGAAGCGGAGAACAGTACGTGTCGAAGGTCGAAGACAGAAAAGAGACGAAGGTCTGTCGGAGAGGGGCAGGAAAGCGGGTCAGAAGGAGCGGTAGGTGCGTAGCATGTGTTTGAGTCTGAGAGCGCGTTCGAGTGCGAGGTTTTGAAGTGGCTTCGGTTTGGAATGCAGGAAGAGAGGACAAGGTGAGAAGAGCTGCTTTGTATGTTGCGTTTTCGTACTCCAGCTTCACGAGGATTCCTCCTCCTTGTGGGGAAGGCGTATGTGAAGGTGCTGAGCGTTGAGTCCGCGCTCGAGATTGAGGTCCGTCTGGCGCCTGAGACCCATTTTCAGGGTCACGTTCATGTCCAGTATCTGAGAATGAGAGACTGGATATGGATTCCCAGGTGCAGGATTGCAGCGCGCCGGTTCGGGAGAGGGAATCGTCGTCTGTCGTGGGCAATGGACCGCTGGATTGGAGGGCAAGCGGGAAGGAGGATGCGGTCAACTGATCGCGCAGTCTGGTCGCGTAGAATTTCAGAGCCGCGGGGTTGTTGACAAGGCTGTCGAAGTCTCTTCCGTGGTGAAGAGGGGAGAGACGGTGGAGTATCCACGAGGTGTTTAGTAGGCTTGTTTGTGCCATTGTGGTACCTTGAGGCTGGTTGAGAGTGTACAATGCATGTGAAGGAGTGGTGTATCACATATCGTGTTAGAATAGCACAATTGGAAGAGGTGCTCTCTTGTCGATCAGTAAAATGATGCGGCAGCTGTTTACTTAGTTGGGAGAGCGGAATGCCCTCGGCGCGACTATCTGTCTAATCGATGCTCCTTATCACGCAAACATTGCAAACATATTTTCCCGGAAAACAACATAGGGCATAGGGCTTGCTTACAATGTAGTGAAGGAAGCATTCTCGTTACAGATTAAGGGACCGATCTCAAGGCAAAAAAATCTCCATTTATATGTAATAGCCGCTGCTAAAATCGTTATGCCAAACGAGTAACACCCAGATGAGCAAAGAGCTCATGTCATGAAGATGGACATATTCTCCACCATGGAGTACACCAAAACCCCGATGAAACGCCTCGCCTTGTGAATGCAAAGAATGCAATGCTTGCTAAACCGACAGAATGCATTATGCACGCCATCCATCTGGAATGCGACAGTCTTGGCAGCTGAATAGGACAGGCAATCCTGTCCAAACCATGACGCGCTCTGCATGATGCGGCGCCGCCTTTCGTAAAGCCAATTCCTCCTTCACAACATCGAACCAGACATCTTCCACGGAACCATGCAGATGCACATTCGGGGCATTCTGGAAGACCAACATGTTGATGTCGTCCTTTTCATTTAATGTAATATCATTATGAAAATTGTGCATGAAGTCCTTTCGCTGCATCCGCTGATTGCCACCATCCCCGATCTCAGCGGAGAAGTACTCCACTATTCGGAGGAACGGCGATACTGTAAGCAACGATCCAATCCAACTGTCATCCGAAACCGTAGGCTCATCCGGTGGTACAGTGTACCGCAAGTATGAGACTAGAAGTTGCATGCAGTGATGTGTGGCTATGAGGGTAGGGGTGTCAGTAAAAGGGGGTGATCTGATTATCTTTACTTGCAAGTCCCGGTACATGGCTTTACGGATGTGTGGGGGTACAGGAACTGGCAAGCGTCCGGCTTCCCAGTCACGCAGAAGAACGTTAGTCTGCTCTCGCCTGGCAAGAGCATAGGTTTCAAGGAAGTATAGTGTATAATACCTGCATGAAGAGGAATGCGTTAGAAGAGCACTAAAACGGGAGGTTGGGAGGCCACTACTTACATGAGCGGAGCGAGATGAAACCATAAGCGCGCAGTAGTCCTTTGCACGAAGACACAGCGCTCAGCTTTGGAGGTGAACATGGATTTCATAAACGCCGGTTCGCTGTGTACAAACCGATCCATAACACGGTCTGCAAGGTAGCAGCAAAGCCTTGAACAAAGCGTCTGCCGGCGACGCAGGCCGGAAATATACTTGAAAGTGTATATGTGACCACCCTTAGCGCTTTTGGCTGGTGGAAACAAATCCGATAACAACACTGCATCATCCTCCGGGTTCCGAGTATATGTTCTTTCGCTATCTATTGGGGATGGAAGTGTTCCATGGCGACGTTGACGGAGGTATTGCCGGGTAATCCATTGTTCCTGCGAGTTAAGCAGCAGATAGAACGATTTGCAGACAAGCTTTAATGGTAGGAAATCCGTGACACCGCAGTGGGCGAATATCTTGATCTGAATCTCGACTGGGAGGAGATCCCAGGGGGAAGAAGTCGGAACTAGCTCCACACTGT